ACAGTACACACAACATGGAAATGCAATTATTTTAGTAAATATAATACCTTTTCTCATCAGAAGTATACAGCAATCTTGTGATTTCTATCAGTGTCCAACAGAGCACTGGTTAAAGCTTGTAGGAGGCATTTTCATTTTGCTCTAGGAGGATGCAGAACCCTGGACATCTGTCTCAATAGTGTTGATTGGCCCTGTGCTGATCACATGTACTCTCCCAAGACTCTGCAGGCCAGTCAAGTTCCTCCACCCCAAACTCACTCATCCATGTCTTTATGGACCTTGCTTTGTACACTGGTGGGCAGTCATGTTGGAACAGGAAGGGGCCATCCCCAAACTGTTCCCACAAAGTTGGGAGCATGAAATTGTCCGAAATGTCTTGGTATGCTGACGCCTGGAACTAGGGGGCCAAGCCCAACCCCTAAAAAAACAACCCCACACCATAATCCCCCCTCCACCAAACTTTACACTTGGCACAATGCAGTCAGACAAGTACCGTTCTCCTGGCAACCGTCAAACCCAGACATGTCCATCGGATTACCAGACAGAGAAGCGTGATTGATCACTCCAGAGAACACGTCTCCACTGCACTAGAGTCCAGTGGTGGCGTGCTTTACACCACTGCATCCGACGCTTTCCATTGCACTTGGTGATGTAAGGCTTGGATGCAGCTGCTCGGCCATGGAAACCCATTCCATGAAGCTCTGTACACACTGTTGTTGTGGTAATATGAAGGCCACACAAAGTTTGGAGGTCTTTAGCTATTGACTCTGCAGACAGTTGGCGACTTCTGCGCACTGTGCGCTTCAGCATGCGCTGACCCCGCTCTGTCATGTGACGTGGTCTACCACTTGGTGGCTGAGTTGCTGTTGTTCCCAGTTGCTTCCACTGTGTTATAATCCCACTAACAGTTGAGTGTGGAATACTTAGTAGCCAGGAAATGTCAGGGATGGACTTATTGCACAGGTGGCAACCTATCACGGGACCATGCTTGGAGTCACTGAGCTCCTGAGAGCGACCCATTCTTTCACAAATGTTTGTAGAAGCAGTCTGCATGCCTAAGGGCTTGATTTTATACACCTGTGGCTATGGAGGTGATTGGAACACTGTAATCCAATGATTGAGCAATATATTGAGCAATATAGCATATATATATGTATATATATATATATGGGTTTTTTATGTATTTTGTTTTTACCTTTTTATGATATAGGAACACTTTTTCGCTTTTTCTTGTTTTTTTTTTTTTTTTTACAACAAAGGACTCCCAAAGAAGCTAAAGAGACAGTACAGCAGACATGTTTCATTGTCAATGCCGCCTGTGCAGGGGAGTCACATCACACATGCCACAGAGAGGAGCCATAAATGTACGCTGAACTGCGTAGCTCAGTGTACATAAACGCTCAGAGAGAGGCAGAGAGAGAGAGAATAGTTGGGTATGTAATCCTACCTATAAGTTTTTTTGTCGTTTTTTTAAGGTTCAATTGCATTTTAATTTATTTATTAACATCTCCTTCACAGAATAATATACAGAAAGCAAGGTAAAAAGTTAAATAAATGATTTAAAGTGCAAATACACAAATACTGCTCAAATACACAAGAAAAACACAAACACAAAAAAGCACCAAGTAAAATAATGTAACCCCCCCTCCCCAAAAAAACCTATAAACGTTTGTTTTTCTTTTTTTGTTGCCTAAACAGCTTGACTAGTGGCATTTGAGGTCTCCATGTCAGTTTTTCTGCTTAGACCAGGTAAACATCAATGATTTGTAAAGGAGATCCGAAGAGAGCCGACAGCTCCACCTGCTGGGAATTCCATTTCTAGAATTGCAGGATTGACGCAGCTTCGCCCCCAGCTCCATGGCTGCCTTCATACGTCAGCCTTCTGCTAATCCTGTGTTGCCAGCTGGGTAAAATTGGGGTCAGTAGCAAGGAATTGAACCCTAGGTCTTGCTTAAAGTGATTCTAAACTTTTTTGTTTAAAATAACAAACATGTCAGGCTTAGTTGCTCTGTTTAAAATTTTGCACAGAACAGTCCTGATCCTCCTGTCTTTTTGTCCCCCCTCCGGTGCTCCGGGTTCCTCTCACCTGTCGAGTGCCCCCATAGCAAGCTGCTTGCTATGAGGACACTCGTTTGTGCTCGCTCCTGAGCCTGCTCTGTATGTCCATTGACACACACAGCGCGGCTCGGCCCCACACCCTGCTTTCTCCTCACTGGCTGTGATTGACAGCAGCAGGAGCCAATGGCTTCGCCACTGCCTTTCTGTCCAATGAGGAGAGAGAGCTGAGAAAGCGGATGCTCTTTAGCACATTGCTGGATGGCGATAGGGCTCAGGTATGTATAGCGGGGGCTGCACTCAGAAGCAGGGGCGGACTGACCAATTGGAAACTCGGGCACTGCCCGAGGGGCCGGGGTCAGTAGGGGGCCCCATGAGATGCCCCTGGTACCTTTTTCATAGGCTTTTTTGAGTTTGGGCAAGGACACAGGGGCCCCATGATCCCCTATTGCCCGGGGGCCCCATGAGTTGTCAGTCCGCCCCTGCTCAGAAGGTTTTTTACCTTAATGCATTGAATGCAATAAGATGAAAAAACAACTTCTGTCTTTTGGGCCAGTTCACACTACAGAAGCTCAATCCAGATGCGTTTCCACAAGCACTTTTTTATGCGTTTTTGGCACATGCCGGTGCATTTGTGATGTTGACACGTTCCTGTGCATTTTTTATGCATTGTGGTTCATTTTTTTCCCTTCTTTTTCTTCAATTTAAATAGGGACATGTGCGTTCCAGTGCGTTTTTGGTGCATTTCGGTGTGTTTTTTTGATGCGTTTTACCATATTCTTAAATTCTTAAGAATATATTTAAAAAATATGTATTTTTAAATATGTTCCTCGGATTTGTTTTAACATATAAAAAAGTCATTTTAACATATATTTTTACATATGTTTGTAAATGCATTCCAAAAATATAGATTTGTATTTTTAAAGACATACAGTATATTTGAAATGTATTTTTAAAAATAGTTTTCATATATTTTGTAATAAAAACGCATTTCAACATGCAGTATGTATATATATATATATATATATATATATATATATATATATACTGTATATATATGTATTTATTTTTTTAAATATATTTTTAAATATATTGCGTATGGCCAAAATTGTAGTATTTAAAATATATGTCAATATATTTTGGAAAAATATTTTTAAAATATATTTCAAATATATTTTCTTCCATATGGGGTTTATTACTCCTAAACACATTAAGTCAAAAGTGAATGCTCTGCATCTGACGCTCTGTTCAGACTGACAAAGTGTTAACACAAGTTAAATCCATGATAATAATTTCAACATTAACAATAATGGACATTAATGAAAATGAGCGAGAAACTTAATAAGCCATGATTAGAAGAGCATAATTTTCAGGCCGTTTCTGTAAAAATTTGATAATATTTCATTATTCCAGCCACAGCGATGTCTGGAAGAGATGGGACCGCTATATTAAAATGTAACAGGACCTCACGCCTTCATTTAGTTTCTCTTAAAGATACACTCCAATCAGACATCCCCACCTATTCCCATTTATTCGAGGCTCTTCGTACTACCCGAGGGCCCGGGGTCAGTAGGGGGCCCCATGAGATGCCCCTGGTACCTTTTTCATAGGTTTTTTTGAGTTTGGATGAGGACACAGGGGCCCCATGATCCCCTATTGCCCGGGGGCCCCATGAGTTGTCAGTCCACCCCTGGTACTACCATTAGTTTACTAAGTTTTCTTTCAGATGGCAGTTGGAGGGAGATAAAGATAGGTGTCTGAGCTGCAATTTTACCCCCTCCCCCCCAAGCCAGGAGGGTCCGTATATATGCTTTCGTTCACAACTGCAGCATTTTTAATACAGGGTGCAGCTGAGTTCCATAGGGCCATGCCGCAACTGCGTGCAATGAATGTGATTGTGGTGTGATAGTGCGGCATTACAATATAACGCCTCCTCACCACCTGTCAACTGCCCTCTGAAAGGCGATCTGAATATGGATCACTCTTCAGAGGGCACCACAGTCCACTGTGAGTGTGAAAGAGCCCCGAGGCTAGGTGCTCACTATTGCAGTTTCCTTGCGGCCGCATTTGCACAGGCATCTAAAGAAAGAGGGAGGTCGGGGGAAATTAGGACTAGGCCTTGACTGTCTATTTAACCCTTATGCTGCCACTGATGTGTGAATTGGACAGATCAGATGAATCTGACACACCGTCTGTTGGGCACTTATAGGGCTCCATGCTGCCATCAGCAGATCTGGGGCTGGCATGGCAGGTGCCGCCATGTAGAGGAGGGGGAAACCAGCGAATGTTCGATCACTGATCTCCCCTACCTTGTAAGAACCCGGAGGTGACATATATTATGTTACTTCTGGGTTTGGCTGTCATGGCAGTCAGGAAGAAGCTAATAGAGTGGGATCTGTGCTCCATTAGCTTCCAATGAGGCCAGGTGAGATAACAGGGGCCTAAAACAGAACCTGTCCCAAAAACAGTATTACCTAGGGGACTATTTATGTGATTAAAAAAATATAGTTTAGTGAAAAAAAAAAGTTATACAAATGAATGTTATAATGCTTCAGGGTCTCCTACACACAAAAATGAAAATTGCTCTACACCTGATACATATTGCTGCACATCACAAAGTAGCAGCAATACTTCTTGGTTAACCTCCCTGGCGGTATTCCCGAGTGTAGCTCGGGGTAAAGTTTCAGTACCAAAAGCGGTAACCACGAGCTACACTCGGGCTTACCATGCGGCGTTGCTCAGGGATTCCCTGCAGCACTTACCTTGTCCTTCGCTGCCGCGATGTGTCCCCTGCAGCATCCCCGACCATCTCCTCCGGCCGATGCCGGCATCCGGCTTCTGTGTTCTGGTCCCTGTGACGTTGGGACGTACGGGCGCCGGAACCGGCGGCAAATTTGAAATTTTAAAAAAAATGTCATTTTTTTTAAAATGATTATTACATAGTA